TATTTTCATAAATACAATGGAATATGAAACATATGAGTATGTATATGAATATATATTTGTTTCATATCTATGAAATTAAACCAAACCAACTTATCCATGTAAAAACAAACATGTATGAATATAAATATTTATTTATATGCTTGTAAAAACTTTGTTTGTGGATAAACCAAAAGCCAAGATGTGTATATATATATAACTGTGTATATATACATAGAAACCAATAAAATGTGTGTGTATATGATATTGAGCTTAAAGTACTTAACACACATAATATAAACTCCTAAACTAATTATACCCAAGCTTGTGATCTTCAATAAAGCTCTATCTTGGTACACTTACGGATGAAGCTTGAACTTAGATCTTCAACTTGAATTGCAAGTTTTCAACCACTATTCCGCCAACCTCCATTTGTTATGATTGTTATGGCGCAATTCCATTCAACCTCCAATATGTTGTTTGTCTACAATAAATAAATAAATACAAACACTAGACAAATAACATTAGTGATAAATTATTTGTTATACATCATCAAAACAAAGAGGCCAACAATCTCCCACTTTTTGATGATGACAAACAATTTACAAAAATGATATATGCATGAAAGGAAATGAATATATAATATTGTAATTATCATGCATATAAACAAAAAGTATATACTCACAATATTTTCCCCCTTTGACAACATCAAAAAGAGAAAACCAACAAGAATGAAGAGAGCGAAAGTTCCACCTACCTATAAGCATGGGTGAGTATAAAACAAGTATAGGGATTGCTCCACCTATCAAAATACCTCATGAATGTATGAAATGAAGGCTAAGGCACACATGTGAGTTAACATAGATAAAAACATGCTAAAAATTACTCACATATATCAAGATAAAAAGAACACATATGGATGTATCATTGAAATGGTGTGTCTCAAAACATAAACATAAAGATCATGTATAAAAATAGATTTATGAAATCAAAAGAACAGTAAATATGAGGATCATGAAAAAAGGGTTTTCAAATGAAAACAAATCACTCAAATGAAATCATAAATCAAGATTTAAGTCCAAGAACAATGATTGATCAATAAAGAAAGCTTTCTTTGTAGAACTTGATCAAACCACATATAGAACGCATGTAGGCTGTCTAAAAATCACAATAGATAGCTGATTCCCCATCAAACACCGATGATGGAAGTTACACTCTGACGACTTCCAGAAGGTTACAATTTGAAGACTTTCACGTAGACTGATGAAGGTTATAATCTGATGACCTTTGCAACAACTGATGAAAGCTCTAATCAACAGCCTCCACAATCAACATCGGGAGTTATAATCTGACGACTCTCACATATCAAAGAGTTAAAGCAAAGATTACAAAACGACGATCTTTGCAACGTTCTGACAGAAAGAGACTACAAATCGACGGTCTCTTCAAACCAAGACGTGGAAGTCCTCCCCGCGTACCAGCATCAAGACGCACCGCGTTCATAGCCACGAACGCAGCTCAGACGTAGCTTCCAACGCTGCCAACGCAGCTTCCAAATCACTGCAAACGCAGCTCAGACGCAGCTTCCAACGCTACCAACGCTGCTTCCAAATCGCTGTAAACGCAGCTCAGACGCAGCTTCCAACGCTGCCAACGCTGCTTCCAAATCGCTGCAAACGCAGCTCATGTTCGGTCGTAAACGCAGCATCTAACTGCTGCCAACGCAGCTTTTAACAGCTGCCAACGCAGGTTCCATCTACTATCCAACGCAGCTCGCAAACACTGCGTTCAAACGCATATTTCATTCCAGAATGCAGGATTTACGTTAGACTCGTTCAAACACGAGCTGAACGGTTTCACAACCGTCTCGCAAGATCTGAGGGGATCACAACTCCACTCAGGAGTGATTTAAGGGGCGGTTACATCCCATTAGCCCCACTTAGGAGTGAATTAAGGGGGCGGTTACACCCCTTAATCCTCTATAAATAACTAAGAAATCAACTTAGTTCGGGGCTGGATCTTTGGGGCTAGATTTTGGAGGCTGGCTTTTAGATTCTGCTCCCTAGACAGCAAAGAAGAGATCCTTGGGCAGGCTTTTGAGGAGATTGACGTCATCCCTCAGCAACATTCGGCAACAGGAGCTTTCTTCATCCTTGACTTATAGACCAATTTCGGTTAAATCAACTCTTTCATAGAGTTTCAAACTCATTCAGAGTTCTCCACAACGTCGAATCGTGAGGAGAAGATCATGTTCAAGTGAAACAAGACGTCGGATCGTCAACGAGAAGCAAACTCGACGCGAGCATTTGAGGGAGGCATCTCATCGTCACCGTGAAGAACCCAGATTTAAACAAAGGGGAGAATCCAGATTAATTCTCCTCTCTTTTGTAATCAGGAAATCCAAATTATAATTGAGATTAAAGGAATACAAATCGATTTTCCTTCATTTCTTTTACTTCAAATTTTTCCACAAACAACGCATTATAAGGTACAATTGAAATTTGAATCATCTGTTTGTGCTATATAATGAATTCAAAAGAACAAATCAAAACAAAATTTTTATAGTTCAAAAATAAGATTACAAAACATACAAGAATCATGAACTATAGAAAAAAATTATCTTTAAAAGTATAAAACCAAATCATCATTGATTTTCACAAATGAGAGAGGCAACCATATCAAGCTCTTGAGCTTGTTTCAACCCATATAAATATTTTTAGCATCTAGTAAACAATGTTTGGGAATAAACACCTAATAAATCTGGTGGGTTATATAAACACAAACCTCTCATAAAAAACGAAACTAATAATCATGAAAACAAAGGAATTGATCAAAGAAAAATTGTTTTCATATTAAAAGTTTTCAAAGCACATTTTACAAAATCAAGAAAAAGAAAAAGAAAAACACTAAAATTCTTGGTTTAAAAATTATTTTGGCACCCAATCATTCTTGGTGCCGGATTATTTAGGGACATGACCCCTATCAATAAAGTTCAAAGCCCTAGGGTTATGAACCCTCTTGGACATATGTTGTGCACTAACATGGTCAAAGCAATATTCACTCAAATGACCCTTCTGATTACAATATGTGTAGAAAAAGATATCTATTTGTTATTGTGGACTATTAGCTCGTGCACGGGACCATTTGCAAACAAAGGGTTTTTCTTTTAAATTATTTTACAAATGAGAAACTCTCTTCAAATCAAAACAAAATTTGGTCAAATGACCAAAACGACCACAAACATCACATTTAAACCTTTATGGCTTAATAAAATCATTTGGCAAAGGTGAAGTCTTTTCAAATCAAATCAAAATTTTGCCAAATGGCCAAAACGATCACATAGATCACATTTAAACACATTTGCATGCTTATGATGAACTTTGTGAGAATGAGCATGTGAATGTGTATGTGTACATGATGATGAAGTTACATGAGATGCACAAGGAGTATTAGCATTCTTAGGTTTATCTGCATCATAGCAAAATTTAGCAAGGTGGCCTTTTCGGCCGCAAATAGAATACTTATAAACTTTGCTATATATGTGTGCATAATGAGTGGATGATTTTGACTTAGACTTGGCACACATATCTATAAGCTTCTTATGATTATTAATGCATGTTTATAAAGTTGAATCTAAAGATGAAATGTGTTTATTCACAATATTCAAATCTTCATTATTAGGCACATATGCATTTTTATTAGAAGTAGAACATATATAGTCATTTATAAAAGAAGCAGTATCATTTTTATATTCTCTACTTCTAACATGGCATCAATCTTAGCATGAGATAGGCTAGCAATTGATGAGGTTAATTTTTTATTTTCCAAATTTAGTAAGTCATTATTTTTTTTAAGCATAGTATTTTCTTTTGTAATGACATCAAATTTGGACACTAGCTTCTCATGATCGGACTTTAAAACTACATGCTTGCTTTATAAATTAATAAAATCTTTTATGCAATTTGTTATAGGCATGCAATAATTTTTTAGAAATACAAGCAAGTTCATCACTAGATAAATCATTAATGGATTTGAACTCGCAAACCTCATTAGGGCTACCGCCTAGTGACCGTGTGTATGAAAATGAAGCTCCACATAAACTAGAAGCGAAATCCTCCAAGGCTTGTCGGATTGCCTCCAAATTCCCTTGATTTGCTTCTATAAGTTTTCACAATGTGTAAACACTATCAAAAGAATCAAGCTTGTTAGAAAAAGATGAATTGAACGCATTATGTAAAAATTTTAACAAAAGCTTGTTCATGATAAATATTTTATGATCATCTTTACTCCATTTGGATTTCTCCAAAGTGGGTACAATATAAGTACAATCTATATTTTCCCATAAATCAAAATGTATAGATCGAACAAAAAGCATGAATCTAACACACCATTGAGCATAGGGAAAATTATTCAAACGAGGAGTAACATTAATGGCATAACCTAAACTAGGTGCACCGTGCATATCCATAATGTATATATGTGCAAGCAAGATACAAATAAAATTAAAATAAGATTAGCACAAAAGATAACTTGGATCTTTAACTCAAGGTGATTAGACCTTAAATCAAAGAGCACCAAGCTTTGATACCAATTGTTGAACCCTAGAGGGGGGTGATTAGGGTCTTATGCTAATCTAATCTGATTTAAATACCAATAAAAACTAATTCAAAAATTATTCTTGCAAGATAGATATACAAAATGTTATAAGCAAGAATAAGCAATATGAACAAAGGGGTATATCCTGACAATGAGATATACTATGAGATATATACAAGAATATACATAACACAAGGGTAAACAAGATATAAACAATCAAAACAATATCAAGCAATATAAATGGTAGGATATATCTTAACAATCATGCTCAGAGTGCTTTTGTGAAGGGTAGGCTTATATCAAGCAATATCCTTTTAGCACATGAGATTGTTAAGCATTATGGTAGGAAAAACAATTCCCCTAGCGCCATATTAAATATTGATTTGAGGAAGGCTTTTGATACAATTAGTTGGGTGTTCATCAATAACATGCTGAAAGGTTTAAGATTCCCAGACAACATGATTTCCTGGATTATGGAGTGCATCTCTACCCCAAAATTTTCCATATCTATAAATGGTACTCCTCATGGGTATTTCCAAGGTGCTAGGGGGTTGAGGCAGGGAGATCCCTTATCACCTTATTTGTTTGTTATTGGAATGGAATATCTGTCTAGGAAATTAAACACTCTCAAGGGGGACAGGCTCTACAGGTTTCATCCTAAGTGTTCAAGATTAAAAATAACTCATCTAGCTTTTGCGGATGATCTTCTTCTTTTTGGCAGAGCTGATATGAATACAATATCAAGACTAAGGGATTGTCTAGCTGAATTCAGTAAAACATCTGGCCTTGAAGCTAACCCATCCAAGTGTTCCATATTCATGAGTGGAGTAGATGATAATCTGAAGAACCAAATCTGCAATCTTCTCAACTTCACTGAGGGTACTATGCCTTTGAAATATCTGGGACTACCCCTGATAGCTAAAAGACTCTCTTGGATGGACTGCTCTCCCCTTATTAATAAGATTTCAGACCAATTTAATAATTGGCTCAAGAGAAGATCCCTCTCGTATGCTGGCAGGTTACAATTGATTAAAACAGTGATTATGGGAATACAAAACTACTGGACCAGTAACTACATACTCCCTATCAAAGTTCTTCAGAAAATAGATAAAATGTGCTCAGATTTCTTGTGGGGGCATAAAATTCATCTGGTGAGCTGGGGTTCTATATGTCAGGAAACTGAACATGGGGGTCTTGGAATATACTCTGCTGTGCATTGGAATTATACTATGGCGGCCAAACTTCTTTGGATGATTCATCTCAAGAAGGATATTCTTTGGATTAAGTGGATTCATGGTCACTATCTAAGACAGCATTCTATCTGGCAAGTCCAACCAAGGAAGAATGATTCATGGCAGTGGAAGCAGCTTCTAAGAGTGAGGAATTTGCTGATTGATAAATTTGGTAGTGTGAATAATCTCCAGAATGTCATCAGGGATAGCTGTGCTAATGATAAAATCAAAGTCTCAGTGCTGTGTAGGAGAATTTTTCAGTACTCAAACCTGGCTACGTGGTCAAGGACTGTTTGGGGTGGATGGAATCTACCTAAACATTCATTTATTCTCTGGTTGGCATTCTTATCAAGGCTGCTAACACAAGAAAGACTTTGCAAAATGAGAATTCTGAACTCAAATCAGTGCACCCTATGTTCAAGAGAAGGACAGATTGAAACCTGTCAGCACCTTTTTTTCGAATGCCAATATTCAGCTAGTGTTTGGAATCAAGTTATGGATTGGCTATGCTTCAAAAGGAAATCATGCAGGTGGGATCAAATCACCAGCTGGTTTGGGAACAATTTGAGAGGGAAAAGTTTCAAAATAAAGCTTAAAAGGATGGCATTATCTACTTCAGTCTACATGATTTGGCAAGAGAGGAACTTGCGTATATTTCAACAGCAACTAAGAGGCCCTGATCATCTCTTTAGCTTGATAAAGATACATGTATATACAAGGATTTTGAATGATAATATACCTCAGCACATAAAGAACTATGTAGAGAATTTTTAGTTTTTGAAGACTGTTTCTGTAACCAGTCTTGAGATAGACATTGATGTATTATAACTTCCATATATTGGTAATGAATAAAAAATTTCATTGACCAAAAAAAAAAGATATAAACAATCTAGTGGAAGAAATAAAACAATAGAGAATGGCAATAAAGATGAACACAAATATAAGTACGCCAAGCCAAACTCAAACACAAGATATGATCACGGAGTTCGGTCCCCACGACCTACGTCTCCGCTCCTCACCTCGATGAGATCTCCACTATCACAACTGGGTTTTCTACGCTCACCCGAACAATGTTTACATCTCGCACTCAGTTTTCTAGTTCACCAAAAACTTTACAACTTACACACTTGCAGTTACACTTCAGACCCTCTAAGTGTTGGCCTAGCTCATGTCACCTTCCTCAAGTGTTTGGGATTACCACCTCTCACTAGGCTTTACTATCGACCTCACTCCTCTTGGAACCGACCCCGTCTCTCACCAACCACTTCTCTCGGTGTCCAAGTGTAATATAATGTGCAACTCACAATGAAGCTCACAAATACAAATTTGTTCTCTACAATAGATGAGAACACAATTAAGCTCACTCTCAATATCACACAAACCCCACAACCTAAATTATATAATGTATGAAAATACAATAAGCTCAATGGTTGTGTGTGTAAAAAATAAGTAAATAAAATCAACTAAACTCAATATAAACACTAGCTTAATAAATTAATATTAAACAATATAAATATAAAGCTAGATTGAGTTTAGAAAACTTCTCCAAGGATAACAAGAGAGAGGGAGAAGAGTGAATACTCAAACACCAAATGATGATCTCCACTTGCTCTTGTAAAAGTTTCTTCACAAACTTGAAAACACACTTAAACAAAAACTTGAACCCTTAAACAAACTTGTAAGAATCTTTTTAAAACTTTTCTCTACTTAAATTGAACTAAGGATATGTGGGGGTATTTATAGGAAACCCCAAAGCCAAGAAAAAAAACAAAACCCAGCAAAAAGATAAAAACAGAAAAGCTAAAAAAAACTAGTCGTTGGACCGTCAGTCGACTGATATTGTTCATCAGTCAACTGATGAGCTGATCGTTACAGGTCAGTAACACATCATCAGTCGACTGATGAACTCGTCAGTCGACCAATGACCTCATTAGTCGACTATTAGTCAACTGATCAGTTGACTGAAACAAATTAGAAACTTTTTGATATTCCAGACGATTTTTTTAGTCAACACATCAGTAAACTGATGTCATCAGTCGACTTACCAATCGACTGATAACAAGTTATCAACCTATTTTGAAACAGAAATATAATTTTCAAACCTCTTTTAAAAATAATAAATAAAATCAAATGTAAAACTTTGGGAAATGATTGTAAACATGATAATACACATGTTACAAAAACTAATTTTCAAAAAGCATCTCCTAAAATAGAAATCTCCATATTTTACAAAATAGTCTAAAACATGTAAATGAAAAACACTTGTTTTTGACATTGGACATAAACCATGTTTTGAAAATCTATAAACTGATTTTATAGACTTAAAGGAAGATATAAACTATTGTTATGAAGTCTATAAACAATGGATACAATATTTTCACAAATACAATGGAATATAAAACATATGGGTATGTATATGAATATATATTTGTTTCATATCTATGAAATTAAACCAAACCAACTTATCCACGTAAAAACAAACATGTATGAATATAAATATTTCTTTATATGCTTGTAAAAACTTTTTTTGTGGATAAACCAAAAGCCAAAATGTGTATATATATAACTATATATATACATAGGAACCAATAAAATGTGTGTGTATATGATATTGAGCTTAAAGTACTTAACACACATAATATAAACTCCTAAACTAATTATACCCAAGCTTGTGATCTTCAACGGAGCTCTATCTTAGTACACTTGCGGATGAAGCTTGAACTTAGATCTTCAACTCGAATTGCAAGACTTCAACCACTATTCCGCCAAATTCCATTTGATATGATCGTTATAGCGCAATTCCATCCAACCTCCAACATGTTGTTTGTCTACAATAAATAGATAAACACAAATACTAGACAAATAATATTAGTGATAAAATTTAGGACAATTTCATTGTTTCTTTTTGAACTTCTCCACATATTACAGAAGAGGAGACGGGGTCGGTCTGGCTATATGGCACTGAAGTTGGACATGAGTAAAGCATATGAAAAAGTGAAATATGGTTTTATTAGCAGGGCCCTTCAGGTCATGGGCTTTCCAGATCATTGGAGACATCTCATTTTGGACTATATTGAAAGCACCCTAGAGGGGGGGTGAATAGGGTTAATGCTAATCTAATCCGATTTAATGCTAATTTAAAACTTATTAATTATAAACTCTTGCAAGTATAATATTCAATAAGATATGAGCAAGTATATGGAATTAAATAAGGGCGAAATAAACATGAACCAATAGCGATATAACAATATAATGAGCATAAGATAAAGACGCCAAGGCAAACACAAACAAACGAAATGATCATGGAGTTCGGTCCTTCCGACCTACGTCTCCGCTCCCCACTCTTGGGGAGAATCCACTATCACAATCGAATTTTCGGCGCTCACCCGAAAATGCTTACACCATACAATATCGGTTTTAAACGCTCACCGATCAACATTTACAACTCTCATTTATAACTACACAAATACCACCTCAAGTGTTGGCCTCTCACGTGTCACCTTCCTCAAGTGTTCAGAATAATCATCTCTCTCTAGGCTTTACCACCAACCTCACTCCTCTTGGAACCGACCACTTGTCTTACCTTACACTCCTCTTGGTGTACTTGTGTAATACAATATGATATATCTCACAAATAAAGCTCCATTACAAATAGTTTATTCTCTAAACAATGATGAGAACTCAATTAAGCTCACTCTCAAAGTTACAACCCCATAACCCAAATGTATACAATATGTGATAATACTAAAAGCTCAAGGGATATGTGTGTAAACAATGAGAAATAATCAATACTAAACTCAATTATAAAATCTAGCTTAATAAAAATAATAATCAAACAAATATATAAATGTAAAGCTAGAATTGAGTTTAGAAAATCTTCTCTAGAAATCAAGAGAGAGAGAGAGAGAGAGAGAGCTAAAGTTGAAGACCAAACACCAATGAAATGATCTCCTTTTCCTCTTGTGAAAACCTCTTCATACAAACTTTTGTAAAACACACTTAAACCATACTTAAACACTCTTTAAACTTATTTTAAAAACTCTCTTGATTACCCTCAGAAGTTAGAGGGTATGGGGTATATATAGGATCATAAAACAAGCCCCAAAACCAAGAGAAAACCAAGGAAAAAACAAAAATCTAAAAATCTAGAAATACTAGCCATTAGAGGCCGTTGGTCGACTGATAAATAGTATCGGTCGACTGATAAATAGTATCAGTTGACTGATGAGTTGATCGTTATAGACAGCTCACAGCTCATCGGTCGACTGAAGAGCTCATCAGTCGACTGATGACCTTATCAGTCATAAAAATAGAAACTTTTAGCAATTCCAGACGAGTTCATCAGTCGACCGATGAAACTCATCAGTCGACTGATAACAGGTTATCACCCAGATATAAACAGTAAAATTAAATTTCAAACCTCTTTTAAAAATATCAAATAAATTACAAAAAATATAAAACTTTGGAAAATGATTATAAACATGATAATGAATATGTTACAAAAAGAAATTTTAGAATTGCACTTTCCAATAGTGAAAACTCTTCATTTTGCAAAATAATCCAAGAATATGAAAACTAAACAACACATGTTTTATGACAAAATGACTTAAACAAACTCTTAAAATATTTTGAATGGATCCTATAGACTTGATAAAAGATATATGAATATGTATATGAATGTATATTTGTTTCTTATAAATATAACTAAACTAAAATAACTTACCCACATGAAAACAAACATATATGTATATAAACATAAATTTATTTATTTGTAAAAACTTTGTTTGTGGATAAAACTCAAAACGGATAAACTCATAAAATGTGTGTGTATATGATATTAAGCTTTAAAGTATCTACACACAAGTATAAAACCTAAACTAATTAAACCAAAGCAATTGGTCTTCAATAAGTTTGTCTTGGATGTGGATGAAGCTTGATCTTGTATATGACTTGAATATGCAATGGCTTCATACTGATATTTCGCCAACCTCCATTTGATGTGATCATTTAGGCATAATCCATCCAACCTCCAACTTATTGTTTGTCTAGAATAATTAAGAAAATACAAACACTAGATAAATAATATCAGTCATAAATTGTTTATTAAAACATCATCAAAACAAAAAGGCCAACATGTATCTCCACTTCCTCACTCTCTTTCTGCCTCAATGGGCAGATTGTGGGTCAGGTCACCCCTACCCGTGATCTGCGACAGGGATGCCCACTATCTCTATATTTGTTTCTTCTCTGTACGGAAGCTCTCTCTGCACTGATCATCAGACAGAAGGAGAATAGGTACATTAGAGGGTTATCTTGTTCTCGGTCGGGGCCAAGGATTTCTTATTTGTTCTTTACAGATGACTCTTTAGTTTTTATTCAGGCTTCTCAGGCCGCTGTACAGGCTGTCTAGAGTACTCTACTACTATATGAGACTGCAACCGGTCAGAAAATCAACTTTTAGAAGTCTGCCATCACCTTTAGACCCTGTGTAGATGAGGATACTATGACCTCTATTTTCTCTATTTTGGGGCTTGATATGGCCCAGTCACATGATCGATACTTAGACCTCCCTTCAGTGGTTGGAAGAAGTCGTTGTTAGACTTTTGTTTCCATCAGAGACTTAGTTTGGAAAAGAGCCCAAGCTTGGAGGAGGGCTCTTTTCTCAGCTGGGGGCGAGAGGTTATGGTGAAAGTTATTTTGCAGGCAATTCCATGCTATGTGATGAGTATCTTCCACATTCCCCTTTCTTTGTGTAGGGAGGTTGAGTCTATCATTATGAGATTCTGGTGGGGATCAACTTCTGATGAGAGGAAGATTCACTGGGTCAGGTGGCAAAAGGTATGTCGAGCAAAGTCAGAGGGTGGTCTGGGTTTTAGAGATCTACAGATTTTTAATCAGGCGCTGGTGGCTAAGCAGGCCTAGAGGATCATTCAAGACCCTTCTTCTCTGGCTTGTACAGTTTTGAAGGGGAAGTACTTCAGGGACTCAGACTTCCTTTCAGCTATTGTCGGCCTTGACTGTTCTTATTTATGGCGGAACATTATCTGGGGCGTGAGCTCCTGGCCCGAGGTCTGAGATGGAGAATAGGTGATGGCTAGAGTGTCTCTATCAGTGCTGACCCATGGATCCCAATGCCCTTTTCTTTCAGGCTAATCACTTCTCTGATCGACCCATCCAGGAGGGTGTTTGAAATGATCTTTGCTTCGGGTACTTGGAATCATGATTTGATTACTAATTCCTTTTGACAGGTGGATCGGGAGGACATTTCACTTATCCCACTACCCCTCCTCCTGTTCCTGACAGACTCATTTGGCATTATGAGGAGAAGGGTGCTACACAGTCAAGAGCGGGTTCTGATACTACTTCCACCTTGGATTCTAGGGTGGCAAAGTGGTGGTCCTTAATCTGGCAGGCGGTGATCCCACCGAAGATTAGAGTGTTCCTTTGGCGCCTGTTCTATGATGCTCTCCCCACCTTAGTCGGTTTATCTTGCAAGGGGATCTCTGTGTCCCCTAGTTACTTCCTTTGCTCTGCTGCCTTTGAGACTACCCTTCATATCTTCACTGTCTGCTCCTTTGCTCGTTTGGCGTGGGAGTCCTTAGATCTTTGGGAAGTGATTGATGGCTTTCGAGGTACGTCTTATGGTGATTGTCTTTTCCATCTCACCTTTGTTTGCCCTAGGGACTCCCTGGCTTT